GACAAAGATGATCAATCTATGATGGAGATGAGTGGAAGGGCTTTGGCTAAGCTCATATGGTTGCTATGGCAATGCAAATGACCAAGACAGTGAGCTTAAGCCGGCCATGGGGCTTAAATAGAAGCACCCACGAAATAGAGCCGTTGGGCTCTCATTGCAGCCCGGTAGTAGATCCGCTACCACGTGTTCTTGCCTTTGGTTTCAGCGTCCGGTAGTAGATCCGCTACCACGTGTTCTTGCCTTTGAAAGATGATCGCCCGATCCCATCGGTCACAAATTCCCACGCGATTGAGTTAGTGACGACCAGACTCACCAGTGAATGACCTGACTCGCCCATGCTGTGTCAGATCAGTTCAACACCACGTGCCTCTAACTAATGATCGAACACGCCGGTGCTCACGACTACATGGCGTCAGGCCATTTCTAGACAGGTTCTAGAGCGCCCAAATAGTGATTGGACGCGTCCGATGCACCTCGATCAGACGCAGGTCAGCGTCCAGTGCAACACCCTAAGCCACGCTGCCACGGTTTCTACTAATCGGACTCACCAGGCTTGTGTCCGGTCACTTCGTGGCCTGAGTTCGGTCACTGTAAAACAGTGAAAACCAACTCCTCCACTTCACCTACTTCTCCACCCTTGCTCAAATGTGCCAACCACCAAGTGTATCACCTTGTGCATGTGTGTTAGCATATTTTCACAAGCATTTTTAAAGGTGTTAGCAATCCACTAGATCTAAATGCATATGCAATGAGTTAGAACATCTAGTGGCACTTTGATAACCACATTTCGATACGAGTTTCACCCCTCTTAATAGTATGGCTATCGATCCTGGATGTGATCACACTCGCTAAGTGTCTTGATCACCAAACCAAAAAGCTCCTATCAAATTTCACCTTTGCCTTGAGCTTTTTGTTTTTCTCTTTCTTCCTTTTCATGTCCAAGCACTTGATCATCACCATGGTCACACCATTATCATGATCTTCATCATTGCTCCGTCACTTCGAATAGTGCCACCTATCTCATGATCACTTAGATAAATTAGGTTAGCACTTAGGGTCTCATCAATTCACCAAAACCAAACTAGAGCTTTCACCATGGTCGTCATCCTCCGGTGGTGGTCGTGGCCTTTCCTTGCCTCCTATCAACGTCAACGTTCGTGGCATGCGTGGATCTATCTCCTTCGTGCCTACTGGATCGAGGAGCCACGGTGGATGTCGAGGAGCCACAACGAGTGCTGTTGTAGAAGACAACTTCAACATCAACCCCCAGGATGCCGCTGTAGACGATGAGATCGAAGAGATCTATCCATCGAATGCTCAAGGCCCGGTACATTCTCAAACCCTAAAAAATATGTTTGTTGTTTGATTTTGCCATGTTCGTACTGTATGTATGTATTCTTGTTATGCATGGACTAGGCTAGAACAAACAAGGCAAATTGGTCAGAACCAAATAACAAATTATTATGTAATTTATGGGTTGACCAAATTAACAAGGGTAACTGCATCAAAGGAACCATGACGAAGCCAGGGTATAGGGAGGTTCTACTAAGGTATCATGCAGCAACCGTTTTGGTCCATGACATTAAGCAGTTCGCCAACAGGATTAGGCAACTAAAGGGACTATGGCAATTCATAAGAAGATTGCAGAATGACACTGGCTTAGGCCATAGAGATGATGGCACTATTGATGCCACTAATGAATGGTGGGAAGCCAATACTAAGGTACTTGCCAAACTACTTGTTTGCTATTTGATAACTAGTTGTGCAGGGCCACTCAGAATGGAAGAAATGCAAGTGCGGGTGTCCAAAGTACTTGGACGAATTGTGACAAATGTTCCATGGTGTAGCTATTGATGGCTCAACCTCATTTGTTGCCGGAGAAAGTCTCACTATGGATGAGGAAGAGGAGGATGCACCTGACGACCTTGATGTGCAGACTCCAGTTAGCAGCAGTAGCCACAAGAGAGCAAGCAGCACAAGCACTACTGGCTCTAGTCCGTGCAAGAAGAGCCTAGCAATTAGGGCCATAAACAAGTACATGACCGACAATGCTAAGATTCAAGCTGAGAGGAATGAGTACTTGAAGCAACATTTGAGTGTGAAGCAACAGAAGAAGGAAGCCAACCGTGAAAAGATTAGGCTATTGCAGCAGTTGGCTAAAGAGTGTGGGGTATCTGAGACAAACCCGACGTGGTTTGTTGTACACAGGATCTGCAATGAAGTAAACAGTATGGAGTTCTTCATTGGAATGTCTTTAGTAGAAGGAAGGCTGGCTTTCATTCAGCACTATGCCAGGGTCAACAACCTGATCTAGATCCTGTTATCTTAATTTCAGTCTGTCATTTGAACTTAGCCTGTCATTTGAACTATGTCTGTCATTGCACTAAGTATGTCATTTGAACTATGTCATTTGAACTATGTCTGTCATTGCACTAAGTGTGTTATTTGAACTATGTTTTTGTGTTATGAATGTGATGGTGTACAGTGTGATGACTTTTGAATTATGATTGTGATGTGAGACTGTTTGTCATTTCAACTGGAATATATAACTAGTTTGTGATGCATTTATGTGCCAGGATGGTAGTTCAGTAAGGGATGGGGACAATTCAGATGAGTCAAGTGATGAGAAAATCTTCATACTTCTAGTTGAGGATGATGACAAAGAATTTCTGGACAGTATGCTTTTGTTTGCTGATCACTATGACAAATATTGCAATAGGGCTAAGAGAAGGAAACCACTTGTAACTGGATTGCAATGGGTAGAGAGGACTCTAGGAGATAGAAACAGATGCTACAACATGTTTAGAATGAGCCCAACTATGTTTCATTGACTTCGTGATCTATTTGTAGTCATATGTCCTCAAATCAAGTACAAAGAGTACCTTTGTGGAGGCTTTAGGCATGTTTCTCTGGATGTTGGGAGCACCACAGTCAGTTAGGCAAGTTGAGGATACATTTGAGAGGTCACTAGGCACAGTTCACAACAACTTTGAGAAAGTTTTGTAATGTGTGGTTAAGCTAGTTGTAGACACAATTAAGCCAGTTGACCTAGAATTTAGAACAATTTATTCTAGATTGAGGAATCCTAGGTTCCATCCCTTCTTCAACAATTGTATAGGAGCACTAGATGGTACTCATATACCATGTGTGGTGCCAACTGATAAGGTGGTTCAGCACATGTGCCGCAAGGGCATGACAACACAGAATGTGCTGGCTGTTTGTGACTTCGACATGAGATTTACATTTGTTCTTGTTGGATGGCTTGGTTCTGTACATGACATGAGAGTGTTCACTGATGCTATGACCAAGTACGGCGACATGTTTCCACATCCACCAACAGGTAAACAACTTCCAATGTTTCAATTGCAGCTTCTAGTTAAACTAGTTGAAGCTTACAAAAATGTTTCATTGTGTAGGAAAATATTACCCGGTGGACTCTGGCTACCCGAACCATCCAAATTATCTTACACCCTACAAGGGAACCAAGTACCATCTGCCGGAGTATCGAGAAGGCCCGGAGCCACAAGGTAAAAAAAAATCTTCAACTTCGCTCATTCATCTCTTAGAAATGTCATCGAGAGGTTATTTGAAGTTCTGAAAATGAAGTGGAGGATTATGTTGCATATGCCGAGTTATGCACCTCATAAGCAAAGCCAAATAATCGTAGCATGCATGGCACTCCATAACTTTATTCGAACGAGTGGAATAGTGGATAGGGACTTTGATCGTTGTGATCGTAATGAGAACTATGTTCCACCTGAGGCATCGACCTCTCAACCGCGTGCTCGTCAGCAGCCGACAAGGGATGATTCTGCATACATGAATGGTTTCCGTGACCAAATGCCATTGGTTTGTTAAATAGATCATGACAATTTGTATTGTGTACTTGAATTGTAACGTGTGTGATTGATTTCTATGATTGAGGACAATTGAATTGTGTACTTGAACCATTGAATAATTATACAATAAAGTATAACATTTGATTGTTTGGAAACGACGGTACCAGCGTGCAGCAGCTCAGCAAGCAGCACCACCGGCGTGCAATAGCTAGGCGCCCAGCAGCAACAAGCTCAGCACGCAGCATGCATGGCTGACAATTAATGAAGCAAATCAGTCATTAAATAAGGGCAAATCAGTCTTCTTTTGATATAGTGCTAAACATTTGCAATGGATCTACACACCTCGGGCTAAAGTCTGAATGGCTAAAGATTAACAGCAAATGATTAGGGGCAAATCTTTTGCCATGGCAAATGCATCTAAACAGTTCCTCAGTATGACAAGCATAGCGCAGCAAACATGCCAAAAAAGCAGAATGTACAATGCCAAAAGAACAGGGGTCAGTGTTCAGTGCTCTGGCAATAAGAAACTATATCCTGAAAGAACCAGTGGAATGTCTGGACGTTGATGAATAGCAAACAAAATAAGTAGCGCTCCAAGGAATGAGAATAGCTAATTTTAGTCTTGCTGAGATGGTGAGGAAGCCAAACAGCAGCCACAACGGAAAAGAAAGTGAGCAAATTGGATCGCAACATGAGTATACGACACAGACCCTCCAAGCCTTTCCCAAGTGTTAGCTACAGTGTTTTACTCACAAACTGAATACAGTTAGTCTAAGCAATGGTGAAAATACAGATCAATTCAGAGCTAAGATCAACCCTAGCATGTATCACAGACTATCCAACGAAACATCAGAACTAGCATCTTAGAGAATAACACGAACAACTCTCCACCTTAATGTACATTGCAGAACTGATCCGATGAGTAAATACTAGAAACTTTGAAGGTTGCCTTGTTGTGGCCATAACCCTTGCACCTGCTGCAGCACACTGCCCCCTTGATTGCAATGATCAGCGGGCTTCTCTTTTGGCCAGCCAAGCTAAGATCAACCCTAGCATGTATCACACACTATCAAAAGAAACATCAGCACTAACATTGCAGAGAATAACACGAACAACTCTCCACCTTAATGTACACTGCACAACTGATTCGATGAGTAAATACTATGTGCTGATAGGAACTTTGCAGGTTGCCTTGTTGTGGCCATAACCCTTGCACCTGCTGCAGCGCACTGCCCTCTTGATTGCAATGCGAGGATCAGCAGGCTTCTCTTTTGGCCGGCCAACCCGACGCCGGGTTCGCAGTGGGCATGGGTATGTTGCTGGGCTCTGAGCTGGGTCGATTAATGTAGGTGGCACAACAACATCAGGTATGGGATTTATTGACAAGGAATAGGTCAAGCGGTAGCATCCTGTTGTGAAGTACTTCACACAGTAGTCATATGCATATTGCCCGGTGCGGTCCAATACGGCAATCGCATGCATGCACGGCAGCCCAGAAATATGCCACCTTTGGCAGGTGCATTCCCATGTGTCAAGGTTGACAACATTAACTGAGTCATCACAGACCTTAAACACGTTGCCATTTTCATCGTTTTCTGCTGGAAGGACATTGAGGGTGTGGGCTTTGTTCACCTCTTCCTGAAGTTTCTGATTGGCTGCCGGTGTTAATACCTCAGTCCATGCATTGGAAGATTCCCTGCGTGTGTACATCATCTCCATCAGCTTGCACCTTATCGTGTCAACCAATTGCACAACTGAAAGCTCATATCTCGTGGGAATCCACTCAGACACAGTGCCAAAAATATTACAAGAATACTGCCCATGACGTGATCCCTTAAAAAAAGCATCTGACCACTGCTCAGGTTTGATCTCCAAGAGCCAATCAGCAAGCTTGTCAGATTCACTTTTGATGAACTCAATATACTGATTGAACTCATCATCTGTGCATGAATATATGGCCTTTTTAAGATGCTCAACCATGGAATCTTTTAGTTCCTCAGTCCATGCATCATCCAGCTGCGTCTTAAATTCTTCAATAAGAGACTCCACACAGTAGCCATGATGACTCTCTTGGAAAACCGAAGATACTACATCCCAAAGTCCATGTTCTCCATTCGATATGAATGTGATGGTCCGAGATGTCCCAAGTGAAGATTTTAGTTGCTCGAGAAACCAATGCCAATTTTCACGCGACTCATCATCCACAACACCAAAAGCAACTGGGAACACATCACCTTCACCATCAACTGAAGCAGCAGCCAGTAGCTTCCAATGCTTATTGGGCTTTGCAGTTATCGCTTCAAGAAAAAGTAGCGGCCTGCACCCATGCTCAAAACCATGGAGCGGCGCATGGAATGCAACAAAGAAAGCGAAACTTTGAATCTTCCAAGGCCACTATAGTTGCAACACTTCCAGGGTTTGTCTCTACAATCCTTTCACAAAACCAAGGCAGCTGACTGCATGCCTCTTCGTGTGTACTATAAAAAGTTCCTTCTGAGCAATTGATCTTCCACGCCAAGCCTGTGAATAGTTCAGGCATAATCCATACTCGTTGAAGATCATTTGCAATATCTCTTGGTCTGTAGTTTGGACTATCACGCAACTTTTCTTTTATGACACTAGCAACCCATCGCTGAGAAGCCAACCGATTACTTTTGACTGTTTCTGATTCACAGGTGTGGCTTTCAGATATTTTCTTGATCATAAATTCTTTCTTTGCAGGGGACTTAGAAGCATGTATTCGCCATGGGCAACCTTCACCAGTACACTCAGCAGTCACACGAGATGAATCGTTCTTGATAAATCTATAATGGAACCTATGTGCAATGGCATACTTATGCAAGGCATCACGGAAATCCTTAGGTCCTTCAAACACTTGGCCAACTCCAGTTATCACATTCTTCCAACTTGCACAAACCTTTTGTCTCTTAGACCCATCCTGAGTTGTTGGGGCAATGGCAAAGGCATCTGTGGGAGTGGCCGAGACAGCAAGAATGCTCTTTGACCTGAAAAAATTGCCTCATGTCATTCTGCAATTTACTAATGCGGCCACAAGAAATTAGGACAGTAGACAAGTACCTGTTGTCAGCTTTCTTCATGACATAAATGTATGTTGAATCTGACTCTGCATGGAATTCAACCATGCGTCGTAGGTCCTTGTCATTGGAAATAGAGATCAAAGTTTTATCATTCTTTGGAAGGAAATACTTGAATGCAAACTGGTCAAGCTTCAGATTGTTAAGTGTCGACGATATCTCTTGCTTAAATGCACTAAAAGTCCAGTCACTTTGGACATGCATAGCATGTGCCTCTCCACCAGAATATGACATGTGTCCATCTTCATCGGTGGTGAATTCTCCACCTATTTGAAGAACAGCTAATATTTGTCCCTTCGCCATAAGTGTCTCCTTCCTACAAAGAGACAACAAGTTCAAGAATTACGCTACTAGCTGATTTCTTTTAGACACTCCATGTGCTTAGGTAACAAACATCTCCAATGATTAAACGCAATGTTTAATAACAACCTAAACATCAGGAGTTCAGCTTCACAAATAGTTGTAGAAATATAGGATTTAATGCACAAACAGAAGGTACTGCTCCTATGGAAATGACTAGATGTCTAGGGCATGATTGGTTTCCCGCACAGTGGTCCGACCAGGCTGGTTGGATGCAGCATGCAGGAGGTAGATGTTTGGTTGGCCAGATGTCCATGTGGGCCAGGATTTGTGGTTGCAAATCGGCCCGAGAAATGAAATCGGATTTTGTTTCTGGCGAGCCTAGCTCACGCAGTGCACGTCACGTGTCCACTGCTCTCTTGGTGCATGCACGGAACGAGTAGGGAGAGACCACCCAATCAAGTTCTGCGATGAGATGGTATGGACGGTAACGTAAGCCAAACAAGGTGCTCCTACATGCAGAGACCCACCAATCAAGTGCGATGAGATGGTATGGATGGTAACGTAAGCCTACATGCTGAGATCGGCGAGAGCCTAGCTGCTACATGCCAGCCTGGTTACCTATAAACCAGAACCAATCACGCCCTAGTGAGCGGAACGAATGGCAAAACTACTAATTGGTTACCTCTTCCACAATCAAACTTGGAATTAACTGGTGTGGGAATACTAGCAATATTCTGATTCATGTGCATTTTAAACATATCAATCCAGGATGAAATACAATACTAAAAACACATACAATGTCCATGTGAAGAAGTGAACTTGCTGCTCCTTTTCTCAATCACAGAGAGGAGGCGTTCAGTGTACCATGATACATTACTTTGAGAAAGCAAGCAGCCTATAAGCGAGCACAGAAAAACCTAATCCTTCGTTCTGGTTTTCAGTAGAGTACGGATCCGTGTGGCCGACTCGGATTAATCAAGCCGAATTCAAGGAGAGAAGTCATGAACCAACCCCAGTAAGCACTTGACTCCCAAAGAGCAGGCGCTTCGATTACCTGGGCCGCGGCCGGATCTGCGGGTCGAGGGCGCGGGGATCCTACCCGCCGGTGTCGGCGGTGCGAGGGGAGGACTCCCGGCAGCGGAAGCGGAGGTGGGCGCCAAGCGGAGGCTCGACGACGACGAGACGGCGCTCGACGCGCGCGAGCGGTGGGGCGTGGCCGGCGACGGGGCTCCCGGTTCCGGCCGCCGCTGGTCTGGCTCGGGGATAAGGCGGTCGCGTGCCCGAGACCCGAGTGCGGCTTCCGATCTAGGGCTCGGGTGCGGGGCCCCGCACGTCAGAAGCAGTCCGCAGTTCCGCACTCCGCAGGGCTGGCTGCACGCAACGTAATCGGAATTCCCCATAATCGTGCCTTATACAGGGCCGGTCGGTTTCGTGCGTCCGTGGAGGTCGTACGCACGGCCCACCGCATGTGATGGGTCGGGCTCCATGCCGCTCGCGTGGAGAGGTCCGTAGGCAGCCGAAGCACCCACCCAACCCACGGAAATTTCCGGTCTGACCGGCAGGGTGTCTTCCGCCGACCATCGATTGGGCTTGAGAACGTGGAGCGTCGGCCCATACGGGAGCCAGCGGCCCACACGGGACAGCAGACATTAGCATCAATCTCCGTCCAGGTAGGTTGGTGAGCGCGGCGGGCAGCTAGGTATATCTATCCCTAATAATAAAAAGCTATATTTTTTTTCTGTCCATTTCTTTCTGTATTTTTCTGTCTGCTTTGTATTCGTATCTATTCGGTATCCGGCAGGCAGCAGGGTGTCTGTGTGTTTTTTTCTGGTTGTGCTACGCTACGCTATGGGCTGGGCTGAAGCCCGTGTCCCAGCCGCACAGTAGCCCTTTTCTTTCTTTTTTATTTTCTTTTATTTTATTAAACTATATGAGAATTCTAAAATCATAGAAAATCACAGAATACTCACAAAAATAACAAACCAGTTGTGTTACACTCCTATTAACTAGGATATACAGTAAACATATAATATCATATGTTTTAGTATAGATTTTTTTGTCGTATCTATATATCTATGCTTTTATGTTTCTGTTTTTCACGTGGTTCTGTTTTTTATTTCCATCCATCTTTTTTCGTTTTTCTATTTTTGTGTTCATATTTTTTCCTCTTTTTGGTCCCGTCAACTGTTTTTTCGTGCTTTTTGTTTCCTTTTTTTCACCCAAAGTTTTCGCCCGCTCCAAGTTTTTCCTTGGTTTTTGTGTTTTTTTCTAAGTGCCTCTCATTTTGATTTCTTATGCTTCTATATCTAAAACTAAACCACTAGGTCGTATTTATTGTTTTAAACGATTATCTCCTGTTTTTACATAAGAATTTTTCCCACTAATTTGTTGCATCCATTATATCCTTTGCTCTCCTTTGCTCGAGTTATATTCATGTGTCCGCTTCCTAATCCATGTGTTTGTCACCGGTTTCGTCTTCGTGTCGATCACAGAGGTAGCTTTGTTCTACTCCCTCTCCCAGGTCCTAACCCATTGCACCTCTAGAATCTCATTAGCACGTGCACAATGGATTGTCGTAGAACTATGGCCCTATAAGAATTGGAGCCCCTAAGAGGGTGTAGGAGAACGATAATGATGAGGCAAGGCAGATGACACCTTGAAATTATGAGGACCTGTTGTTGGGAAGACCGATAGTGGAGCTGTCGACTGACCATCCAACTGCTAGCTAAGGCTGACCTCCACCAACTATTGTGTCGTTGGGTGCACTGATGGCACAATTAGGTCTCTCATGCACGTCGCTCTTCTCGGTCGTTCAAGGCACTGTAAGGATTGTGTGCTCGCTCAATCACGACTGTTAGGCCATGCCTGTGCCGCCCCGTGTCCGCTTAACCACCACCAGAGCCGTGCCCACAAAGCCACCATCGTGTGGTTACGCAATGCTAGCCCATGTCTTCTCAATGGCCGGTGCACCACTGTCATAGGTTGCCTAGCCATGCGCGGTGACACTAGGCGCGCATGCTACTGTGGCTACTGTGCCAACACACAGCTCCACCGTGCAGCCACACTCATGCCACCGACAATGCAATAAATTGTTCTCCCGTTGCAACGCACGGGCATTTTTGCTAGTATATAAAAAATGTTGGAAATAATATTTCCTAATGATCAATTATCAGGTTAATAACATCATTAGCAGTTGCCATTGGTAGAGGGGCATGTCCCTTGGAAGATCCTTTATATATATATATACACTAGAATTGCAACGGGAAAAAATGATACCATGATAATTTAGTTGTGAATGTGTGGTGTACCGTGACTCTAAGCAAGAAATTTGCAACATTCTATTTGTACCTAGATCCGTCTTCACAATGCATGAACATTAAATATATTCCAAGTGTTGACATGAAATCAAAACAATATGCTCATTACAACTATCGGTTCAAGCACATCTTTGATGCATTCAAGACATAACTATAACAGAACCGACCAATTATACGAGATTAAGTAAGAAAATCTTCCGCCGAAGCAGATAATTTAGCAAACTTAAACCCGTATAACCCGGTAGTCCGTGAAACCACGAAGGATTTCAAACCAATCGACATACAAACCAAGATCGTACAAGTTTAGCAAAAGTACCAGTCACACGTTACATAAAGTTTAAATTGACAGTTGATACATCGAGTTTGGAACATAAAGTTATTACATACCAAGTTTGAACTGAAATAGCGAAGCAAATAGTTTTAAAGCACACACACACTTTTGATTCGGAATACGGTGCGATGGGTAGTTATCTCCAATAAAAGCATCGGATGAGAAATACGGAGTGACCATTTGCCCTTGGTCCTAGTTGTCACCCATCGCCGGATCTGAGAGCGAGTTAATGCAATAGCCGTAGTACATTTGACCATCTGCAACAACAATGGGAACAACGCATACGAGTACGAGAAGGTACTCGGCTAGACTTACCCGTCTTAAACCAAAATAAAAACGACACCAAGGATTATGCAAGGCTTTCTTTAGTGGGCTAGGTGACTCTTTTCTTTAAAGCATAAGTTATCATGAATAAACCATTTTAAGTACTTTGCATCATCTTTATTATAACCTATCCATCTAGGTAAGCACACGTACTATAGCCATCACATGATTAACCAATAACATCCAATTACCAATTTAGCTTAGCATAACTCACATCATCCGGATAACCATCATTGTTCCATAATAATTACTACGATGCCGTAGCTCAAGTCAAGTGCTCACTATCCGGGAGGCGATGGCGATTCGAATCGATTTCTAACCGGTGGTGATTTATTCCTCACACAAACCATGCTTCCCTGCCGGGGTAGCTTAGATCACAAATGACACTTTTCGGTAGTTGTGGGATAACTGGAGCCGCAGATACCTGGGGACCGCCCGATTGCCGGGAATCGGTCACACCTACCCTTGGGCTCACTCTTCGTGCCCTGTCCATACCCCCCATCACACCAATACGGCAGCTTTTCGTGTAGATCCCGGCTGAATAGTGCCACTAGCTTCAGTGGTCGAAAGGTACTTTATTCGCCCGACTAAATGTGAGGCATCGTTCAACATGACAAGAGGGACGAGCAACGATCGGTCCTTAATCGACACAGACGGAAACTAACAAAGACCCAGAACCCCCATCGGTTGCCTCCAACTATTCCGTCCGGTCTCTAATTTTCCATCACATATGGTTAATTCAGGATATCATTCTTTCCATAGCCAATCTCTTCCAAAGAACCACCTAAAATGTAGGTGACCGGGTATCACCGATCGCTACCCGGTCTAAGCAAGGCTAGCAGTTATTCGATCCCGACCTAACAGGTAAAAGGTAATAAGGTAGGCAATGATAGTAATAAATGCATCAACGGTTTCAATCAACTCCTACAACTTAATGCAACAATATATAAACTCATATATATAGAAAGAATTGCTTTTATAAAGTAGGAGACTTAGAATGCTTCGGGGCTTGCCTCGTTCGAACGAACTAGGTTGGTGATCCACGACACTCGGCAAGTCCTCTCCTTGCTCCTCTTCCTCTGGCACCTCCCGTGCCTGGACTTCTGTGGATCATCTGAGTCCGCTCTTCCTAAACCGCTACTAGCAACTCCTCCTGCGATCCTGTATGATGAGATGTATAAGTGCTAATGCATAGGTGCATCGGAGAGATGACATGTAATGATCATGATGCATGAAATGTAGATGACCATGTTTAACTTCATTGGACATAGTAGTAGTGTCGGATACCACAAGAAGGGGTACCCTAAGCAAGATCCAAGAATATTGCTTAAGCTTTGCTAAAACCAAAGCCAAAAGACTCACTGCAAGGTCTCGGCAGAATTCTCTCGATTCGCTTGAGGCTTTGCGCCGAGGCCTCATCTGAAACAGGCCTAAAACGTCCCGCCGAGGCCCTCTCGCCGAGACCCTTCGCCAAAGCCTCGCCCCAAAAGGCCTCGGGACGGATCTCAATTCTCCGATTAGCTCGAGGTCGGGCTCACGGACGTACTCGTAACCTCCGTCCTGACCGAACTCCCTCCGCAAAGCGTCACGTTGGATTAAATGCACCCAACCACTCCCCAAACGTCACCGCATGCATGTACGGTCTGCAGACAGAACAAGCCCGGCAGGGGCGGGGACCGGGCACAATAGGGTTACCCGCCACTATACTCCTCTGTGTGCTCCCTCCGACACTTATCTCGCCTGTGCTACCTAACCCTTGCGCCAAGGACAAAGCGGCATGGAAGGTCGAGTCCATGTCCTGTAGCCTCGGAAAGCAGCCAGGAGAGCCCGGCTGCTCGGTCTCTGCCTCGTCAAGAGACCCCAAAGCAAGGCCCCGACGCGCGCCATCCCTTCTCCGCCTCGGCCGAGGCTGGCTCATCCGCATTCTCGTCGCCTCCGCCTCAATTGCCCCTCCGCCGGGCCGTCCCATCCGTGTATGTATCCCTAGTTACGCCTATATGTCCCACGATTGGTAGGGTATGGCAAAAGAGGCGATGGGATGGCGGTCAAATCACCTTTTACCATCCCCTCGACGGTGCAGAGACTCACGGCTCCCTACGGATGCCCATTCCGCACTTTTTCACCGGAATCGCACGGTGCGACCACAGACCAATCGAGACCCCTACGTCGTACACGGGTCACCTCGAGGCCTCGGCAAAGAAGGCCTCGGCACGATCAGCCCTCGACACCGCTTAGGGCCTCGGCACTCCACCGGGACAAGAGTCCACCAGCACGGCATGCCACCTACGATGGAGGCCATATCGACTAGACGTCAACAAGGACTCTTACGACTTCATGACCTCGGACATGGCTGCGTGGCGATCGGTGATCAAGTACCAATTGCCATTCCCGACCTTTGTCTTTGCTATAGGAATAGGCCACGATCTTTGGATCTTCCTTTCTCGCTCAGGCTCCACGTGTAGCTCTCTCATGTACTCCTGGCTCCCTCCTTGTGGCTATAAAAGAAAGCAGCCAGGGCTGTTTCTAGGGATAAAAAAAACCATGCCAGCCCTCACGCAAAAACGCACTCACTCAATTCACGCGCGCTCCCACGCTGCCTGAGAGCAATGACTCAAGCAGCCCGCACCATTCCACGCCGAGACC